AGGCAGGGGTCAATGCGAAGTGATATCTTGTATAAGATCGAACAGTGCCAGCAGCAGTAGCTCGTCATGAGCGTCTCAGCTTTTGCGCCCGAGCACAGGAGGGCGGTGAGTATCACTGGATGACTCAGCATTTTCTGCCGGAGCTGATCCGGGGTGTTTTAAGCTAAACCGTTTCGGGCAACCCAAGTATAGATGAATCTCGTCCAGCTGCGACACGGACGTCTCCTTTCCTCCTTCGTTCTCCACATGATCATCACTTTCCCGGATCTTTAGGCAAGGCGGGCCTCTTCTCCACTTCTCTGGAGGCTTAGCCTAGGCTTCTCTATCAGACGAGGTTCATGCGATCTACAGGGTCCCTTGTGACAGGGCAGGGCTGGTCCCTGACTGGCCAGTTCCCCGCCTATGACCTTGACAGAGTTGCAATGATGATGACTCAACCAGCCAACCGCATGTCATCCATCTTCAGAGCCGAATCTAAACTTATATTCTTGCAGTTAGTCGACGCGGGGCTGGATAGAACATTCCTGATCAAGCTTAGCCACAGATGACGACGGGAACGGACCAGACCCTTTCTCCTACATTCCAATAGCCTTTTCACCAATCGCGCCTCTTCCGCATCCTCCCCGCAAGGTTGCAGAGACCCTGCAGTGTCATCCCCGGAGCCGTCGTTGCAAACTAGCCGGGCATGCCTTGTGATAGCTCCTGCCTCGGTCGGTCCCTGCTTGCAATAAGAAGTGCGCATCCCCGTGGACAGGCTGAAGGCTCTCTGGCACTGCAACGATCCTAGAGCTCACGCCTTATCTCGGTGGAATGGCGAACTTCAGGCTGGGTGTGGCTTTGGCCAGCAGCGTGGCAACGGCACTTGTGTTGCTGCAACTGTTCTCACTGTTTCAGCACCAGAGCCAGCCACTCATTGTCGGTACACAGTCTAAGTGGGCGCACAGAGCTGCTGCAACCGAGGCGAACAACGATGATATTTTCCTGCTAGGCGCAGGAAAGGCGGATATAACGGGGTAAACTACCTTTATCCTACCAGTGCTGCATGGATGCTGATACATTGTCTGCTAGGCCTGTTGTTGAGTTAGGGATGAATGGATATGCTAGCTTGGACCAGATTGGGACTGGTCTTCGGCAGAGAATCTACTCTCGGGCTTTCATTGTGGCCAATAATAACAACCCAGATGACACTTTCATCTACCTTATCCTGGATGCTCTGACCGGGGACACTGCCGTGCGCCATGGTGTACTTGATGGCCTTGCTAGCCTGGGCAGCGACTATGCTCGATACACCGAGCAGAACGTCGCACTTACTGGGACACACTCTCATTCAGGCCCCGGTGCCTGGATGAATTACCTTCTTCCTCAAATCCCCACCAAGGGTTTTGATAAACAGAGCTATCAAGCGATTGTTGACGGTGTCCTCCTTTCAATCAAGCGAGCCCACGAAGGTTTAGCACCCGGACGTCTCAGCTTTGGGTCCATAGACCTAGAAGACGCCAATACCAATAGAAGCCCCTACGCTTATGACGCCAATCCTGCAGAAGAGAAAGCTCGGTACTCGGCGAATGTGGACAAGACGCTGACTTTGTTGAGGTTTGATCGGGAATCCGACAACAAGACCACTGCCATACTGACCTTCTTTCCCGTACATGGTACATCTTTGTACAATAATAATACCCTGATCACCGGGGACAACAAGGGTGTGGCCGCGTGGCTTTTTGAGCGCAGTGTCAAAGGCGACCAAAAATTCTCCGATGACTTTGTCGCAGGCTTTTCTCAGTCAAATGTCGGCGATACCAGCCCGAATGTGTTAGGAGCTTGGTGTGAGGATGGCTCTGAACAACAATGCCGATATGAAGATAGCACATGCGGCGGGAAGACTGAGGATTGCCACGGCCGTGGACCTTACTTTCGTGAGAAGGATAACGGCGCAAAGAGCTGCTTCGAGATTGGACGGCGACAATACGCGGCTGCGAAAGAACTCTACGCCAATCTGGATTCCAATCCTGTTCGAATTCTTTCAGGCGCCGATGTCCGCTCGTTCCACACTTACCAAGACCTGTCCAACTACACTTTTACGTCGCCGTTTAATGGTAGTACTCTAAAGACGTGTCCTGCCGCATTGGGATTCTCGTTTGCAGCCGGCACCACGGACGGGCCAGGATTTTTCGACTTTACCCAGAATGGCACGGGACCAGCCGATTCCAACCCTCTATGGTATGTTGCTCGTGCTTTCTTGCACCAGCCGTCAAAAGAGCAGCAGGCGTGTCAAGCGCCGAAGCAGGTTCTTCTCGATGTGGGACCAATCACACAGCCGTACGCCTGGACACCTAATATTGTGGACATTCAGGTCCTGAGAGTGGGTCAACTATTCATTGTCATCTCGACAAGCGAAGCCACCACCATGTCTGGGAGACGCTGGAAAGAAGCGATTGGCAGCTCTGCAAAAGAGGTTCTTGGAGTGGCAGACCCTCTGGTAGTCCTAGGTGCGCCGTCCAATAGCTATGCTCATTACGTCGCCACGGAGGAGGAATACGGAGTGCAGCGCTATGAAGGGGCCTCGACTCTGTACGGGCCCAATACACTTGCAGCATACATCAACCTAACCCTTACGTATCTGCCGTACCTGGGCAAGTCAGCGCAGACGGGCAGTCTACCGTCGCTATCCTCCGGGAAGATACCTCCCGTCAATACCAACAACTCACTAAGCTTTATTCCCTCAGTTATATATGACGGATCGCCAATTAGCAAAGCATTTGGGGATATTGTATCCTCGTCGGCAAATGTCACTTACGGGCCTGGAGACATGATAAATGTCACATTTGTGGGGGCAAACCCTCGCAATAACCTACGGCAAGAGTCGACCTTTGCGGCTGTGGAGAGGTACAACTCAGCTACCGGGTCATGGGATGTTGTGCATACTGACAGCGACTGGAACCTTCTGTATAACTGGGAAAGGACGAGTACGATTTTGGGGTATAGCGAGGTCACTCTCCAATGGCAGATCGAGGACGAGTATTACGACACGGGGAATCCTAATCCCATTCAGAGTGGAACATATCGTCTCCACTATTACGGCGACTCAAGAAGTGTGCAAGGTAAGATATCCTCCTTTGAGGGGATTAGCGAAGCGTTTACGGTTGCAGTCAGCTGAGCTGGCCTCTACTATGTTGAAGGAGGCTGGTTCAAGCGGCAAGGAGTGAGGCTTATGAGACAGGATCAGGACGTATATGAAAGTAGGAATGATCTAACAGTAGCTTTGGACTATAGCCAAGTCAATATTATTGAATTTCTCGCAATTGGATATTTGTTTCTCTTGCTGCTTCGTGGTTGGCTGCATCCCAGCCAATCTAGCCATGCCTCGCTGGCTCAAGGATGGTGGCTTAGCTTGTGAGGCTTATGCTCCGACATGGCGAGATCCACTCATCATAGCTCAGTAGAAAGATTGCTATGATCCACTGTTCTGCAAGACTTGACACGGTTGCCAATGAATGGGAAATGCTGGCCAACCGGGGCGGGTGCTGCAACATCCCAGCCGGCACTTCTTTGTCGCGCGCCAACTCGACTCTCGCCAGCCAACCGATCCCAACTTTGAGTCCCACAACAGCAAACTGGACTGTCGGAGTGTTTCATGTCAAGCTGCACTTGATGGCGGTCCAGGCAGTGGCATCAGCTAAATAAAGAGATGAAGGATGGGCGCTTTCATCGCTTGGCTTTCTTAAACACGGTCTTTCTCTTGTCTAACCCTCATTCGCTCTGCATCATCCATGATCTTGATTGTCCTTCTTTACTTTCCCTCACTTCGACACTCTTTCGTTGTTTCTAGATATTAATTCGAGTCAAAGATGAATTTCTGTCGCTTCTGAACTTGCCAATACATGTTAATGCAGCGTGGTCAGCTATTTATCTTTGCATACTCTCTTTGACAGCTCGTTTATTTGTCCCCTTTACATCTCCTTGACATACATACATAATATTGGTACTATTTCGACTGCATAATTCCAGCAGCAGACGAGATAATGTCGCTCATACCAGTTATCCTCGTGACCTTCTTCCTGGTCTTTTGCTGCGCGGCTGGTCCGATTGCTCCTTTTGCTTCCAAGAGAGACTTGGAGTCGCTCTTCCCATCTCCTTCGCTCACTACGCCTTATATGCACGTTGCCAGTCCTTCGGTCGATGACGATGACGACGATGAGATCAACGCTTTGACTGTAGTTCCGGTCACTCCCTCCAGTCTTCCTCAGACTGCATCCAGCTCTAGCACTACCGTTGAGCCAGCGCCATCAAGCTCAGCTGCGTTCGTTCAAGTATCTCCGACTACTTCTACTCATGTCGACTCAACTACCTCTCTGTTCGAATCTTCCTCTGCAGATACGCACTCGTTATCTACAAGTGTCTCGTCAGACAGCACCGTGACTACTTTGTCGCTGACTTCGACAACCATAACTACGACTACAACCACAACTACACCTTCATCTTCAGCACTCTACTTGCCTCCCGCGAGTGCAGTTCCAAGTTCTCATACGACAAGTTCTTCGTCGCAGGTGGTGCATACCACAACACCATCTAGCACGCTTTCTGAGAGCTCCCATGTTGTAACACCCTCAATTACCATGCCAGGAGGTCCAATGGAAGCCTCGTCGTCTCACGCACCTATGCCAACAACCTCTTCTCACATCACGCACGAGACGTCATCCTCTGCTATCAGAGTATCACACTCATTCAGCACAGCAGCTCAAGCATCTCCGTCACACCGAAGGACGATCACATCATCTAGTAAACTACTACATTCCTCAACAGTCGCACCCCTGCCATCAAGCGATGCTCCAGAGAGCACTACATCATCCCACACCTCCGAGACATCAACGCCCACCAGCTTCACTATTGGAGTCATCACGCCTCTCCCAGAAGCCAGTGCTAGCTCTTCCTCAATGCCTGAAATGTCACCATCCACCTCACACTCCAGCGAGAGCACAACAACCACAGCCGTGGACACCTCACCCACACCCACCACAAGACAAACCACAATCTCACCCACCGACAATAAGACTACTACACCAACCCCCCACACAGCCAAACCCTTCATCGGAGTGACCATACCCACGACAAGCACAACCACAACCAAGACTACTCAGCCAGCAGACCCAGTGGACACAACGACCACAACCACTCCCACACCAGAAACAGAAGACGCCACCACAACATCCGCCCCAACCCCAGTCGTCGTACTAGTTACACCCGAAGGATCAACGACTGTCATCGGAATCTCCTCCTTCATACCTTCTAACCCAGATACCACATCCACATCATCCCTCACAACAATCAACCCAACCACAACAAAAGAACCCCCAACGACCCTCCACTCCACATCCACAACCATGCAAACCATCTACGTTGTCATCACAGATACACCCACCCCGGAACAAACCTATGATTCAACCACCATTGCGACTGCTATCGTTACTGTCGTTGATAAACCGACCCCAACCTTGGAAACTGTCCCTACCACCACCACATCATCAACAACATCTGAGGAAGGGAAAGTGTCGACGACGACTCCGACTCCGACTCCGTTAGATGCAGAACAAACGCCAACGAGATCTAGCGAAGAGGATGATGTGTCCACGTCCACGTTCATACCTACGATAACATCAACATCTTCTCTTTCTAGTGAGACAGGTGATGTTCTTATGATTGTGCCTGTGACGCTTACGGGTCCTGTTACTGTGACTGTTACGGTGACGGAGAAGGAGAAAGAGACGGTGACAAAGACGGAGACTGTTACGGAGAGGGTTACGGAGACGGAGAGTGTGGCTACTTGATTTGGTTGTTATGTTATGTTATATGATATGTATTAGTTAGGAGGGATGGTGGATATAAGTGGTAATAAGACATACATAATTCAATTTTTCTGAGTTGATTGGTCCATGGCTTGTGTTATTGGATGTGCTACCTCTCCATGTTGATTTTGTAGTAGTATTTTATCAGTTATTTCGACACACATTGGGATTTGTCATCCATCTCATTTGAGATACTTCCAGCAAAACAGCTCATATCATCCATCCACCCATGAAATGACCTAGATATAGGTATCATCACAAAAGATCACACGGTCAAACAGTCAATGAAACACTCTATAATAATATACACAAATATATAGACACCATGGCCGTTCAATCATACTCCCGACCCGAATAGTACACACACTGAACTCCGTCGCCACCCCAGCTTTGCTAACAATCAGTATCCCGCCTCCCAAACGAATAAAGCAATCGATATCCCATTCCAGAAACTCCAGCTATAAATGATGCGAAAATAAGTCAGCTTCAAGAATGCCTTCGTGTCCATTACAGTTCGGATAACATGCCCCCTGCTTCGGCAAACTTGGCCTGGTATTCTTTCAGACTGGCCCATTGGCGCAGCTCTTCTTCGTCGCGGTTGTGATCGCTCAAATAGCTGATGGATTGTCGGTGTACCTCGGGACTGGAACCGCTTTTGCCCTGGCTAGATCCGGATTTGAACCCCTCTAGGCGTACAAGAGTATCAATGAATGCGCGAAGGTAAGCTTCGGCTTCTGCGGATGTTAAAGGTTGGGGACCAGAAGTGGAGGGCGTGATCATGCTATGATGCGGGAAGTTGAGTAATGTGGAGGCGATTTGGCGAATTTTAGCAGTCTATGAAGGGGTCAGTTCTCCCGGTTCAAGTTAAAGGAAACACAGGGTGCATACGAAACTGCCGCCGTTGGGTTCCATACTACTCTCGTTGACCGATTGCAACAAGATGAATAGATCCCGGATCACCACCCGACGCTCTTCTGCCATCATCCTCCCAATATAATCTGATTGGGCTTCCGCATCGTATGTGTCTAGACTTTGCGGCGGCTCACCTTCAACCTTAATCGTAGTTCTTGGGCTGACGGGAATTTGCTGGTCGGACTGTTTTCGCTGCATTTTCCACGCCCCGTACAAGGTCCAATATTTCTCTACCAAGTATGATCGGGTGCCCAACTGGCTCGCGTAGATGTTCGCCTTTTGAATCTGAAGTTGCATATGGCGCTTACGAGCCCGCGGATCCTCCACAGGTGTAGTCTCGTATTGGCCATGCCCGTTGCCCATTTCGGGATCTTGAGATAGCTGGATAGCCAATTCCCTTGGAACATTAGATAAGCCAGATTTAGCTTTTTGCAGACATTCCCACGCAAGAGAGCGCTGCCGTTCCCAATCAAAGACCTGGCCGCTTCCAAACGCAGTCTCCCAGGCGGAGAGAGTATTATACGATTTGAACACCCGGACGTTGGCGTTGAAGCCCACCAGAAGGGAAATCCGGTCAGATGGTTGTGGTTCAACATGTGTGGAGAAGATATACTCATCATCCACTTCGAGGGGCAAGGGAGGATAACGCGAAGTCGGAGTTTCAGGAGGCACATGGATAGTCACGTCACCGGAGCCAAGCTGCTGCAGCGTCCGGTAGCCGGCGATGGTGGTGTAAAATAAGCGTCGTCCGAGCTCCTGCTCGATGATATCGACGGGAAGATCGGCGGTCGCGCCGCCAAAAGGATCTTGCGAATAACGCGACGAGGAAGAGGGGCTTGGCGGAGTCATTGCCCGAAAGTGATTCGACTGTCGAGAAAGGTCATACACATGGATCATAGTAAGGCATTCCGCGAAATATGCGCGACATCGGCGCATGTGCCAGACGTATCCTGCGCAAAGCCCAAGGAAATAGCTAGTTGCGGCATCATACACTGTCGCGCTTCGATCCAGATAGCCGTAGCCTCTAGCTTGGACTGCAACATCATGGCATCGCCTGACCAATGCCATCGAGTGTGGAAATGCTGCCTTCTCCGCCTCCGTCTTCAGATGCCGTTTGGGCCTCCGCGGAAAGGACGCCACCAGTGTCCCGACCATGGCGGCCGTGAGGGCCAAAAAGGTAGGGTTAGAAAGGTCATCTCGCCGCTCCAATGCGGCGCGGAACGTGGGCTCATGGGGGACAGGAACTAAGGGATGAATGTAGGTGAAGAAATCGTCTATTAATAGCCACAGGGTCGGCATATAACAAATGGACTCCGCCGATAAAGGTGCTGGGGTGGACGAGGGGATGGTGGTGCTCCCCACTGACCCGGGGGGACCCGGGGTGGCATGGTCTGATGGACTTGGGGAGCCTGCAGGGGACTCTGCTAGTTTTTGCTTTTTGAATGCCTCTGCATGGCGGTTAGGGGGACCGCGACGTCGACTCGGTCGTTCATAAGTGCAAGGGATGTCCAAGCTTGCGCATGACCGACAGGGTGGTCCGCTGGTGTCGCACTGAGCAGAGTTAGCCAACACTGCCCTTTCTTCATGAACAGTGACAGCTGCATGTAGTATACCTTCACTTTTCGGATACTACAGGCGTCACAAGCCTTACGCAGTCTGGTTCGTTGGTCCATGAGCATGTAAAGGACACAGCGGATATTCCCATGCTCTTGTAAATTGCATTCAGAAGCCTAGAACATAGGGTTGTTGTTGCGGACCAGGACCAGGACGTCCGCGCATACTACACCACAAGATGCTGGACAGAGCACTGTCGCGTGCGGGTCGGAGACGGATAGCGGGATGATAACGAGTAAAACCTGGAGAAGATGCAGCAGGAATGACTAGTAGTAGATAGTTAAGGTATGCCGATAGTCCCGGGCACTAGCGAACAACAGCACCTCGGAGAGGAGGGGGAACACCAGGGGGGTGAAGTAGAGTAGAGAGTGCTAGTCCAGTCCACGAAGACCGTACAATCGGACGAACGGTCCAGTTGTTGTGGGGGAAATTGGAAGGATGATCGCCCGAACGAGGCTCGAAGATTATGAAGGGACGGCGGGTTAGTCTAGAAGGGTTAGATTGAAAGATGGAAAGACTAGATTTCGCAGGGTTTCGCAGAACCGTTCAACATTTGAGTTTTAAGATTATGAGCAGTGAGCCCAAAGAAGCGACCCCAGAGTGACCTAATGCAATATCGACCACCGGTCAGGTCAGGATATCCCCGCCCGGTGGAGGTCTGGACGCCGGCTTAGGTTGGCTGGGACAAAAGTAGTGGACGAAGTAGTCTGGTACCTTAAGTTTGGCCAAACTCCGCCGTCGATGGAGAAGAGGGGCTCCAATGACGGGTGGAATCGGAGCCCTGTACTTCACCGGTGATGAGCGTTTATGGAGCCTCGGAATTGTGTTTGCTTGGTTTTTTTTATTTTGTAGTTTTCTTCTTCTTCTTAGATTACCAATTGTCTTCTGTCGACTCTTTTTCCTTTCATCATTTCCTTTCTGTTTTGTGCCATGTCTAATGGGGTGATTTGAGAAGCAGTGTCGATCACAGAGAGAGAGACAGAGAGAGAGACAGAGAGAGAGACAGAGAGAGAGAGACAGAGAGAGAGAGAGAGAGGAGAAGGAAGAACCGAGACAGACTCCGAATCAGGCGGGGAGGAGATCACGTGGCTGCGCGTCATGCCGCTTACAAATGAGACTGTGTGTGATATGCTGGAACTTGAGGCTCAAGGGCAGCCCGAGGCAACGAATCTAGAAAATGGAATGGGTCGCATTGAAAGAGGCTGAGTTAGTTAGTAGTAAAAGGTATAATAAGCAACAATTATGCCGGGCGCCAACGATGACGATGGAGGGAACCGACTGAGACTCCCATCGTCGCAAGTGCCGTCAGGGACTCGGTGCCTGATTTGCTCACAAATTGGGAGTAGATGCGGGTAACAAACAAATCCGGAACCCTTAACTCTGTGGTAGAGGAAGACTTAGTATAGTCTAGTCTCCGTACTCAGTTACTACTTACTATAGGATCGGAGCACTGTCGGGCGCCGGCAAGGTTTGCTAAGTTGCTAAGGGTGCTGCTAAGTCTCGCCCCGTCAGGGGTTACTTCCCAATCGGTCCGTCTCCGCCGCAGACTAATCTTAACTTCCCCCCCGATACTAATTACATTTAGTTATCCTCGACCAGCGAAAGGCTCCCTGTCTACCAAAGTACCTTAGAAAAAGCCCGCAGGTGGAGTCGGCAGTCTTTTTGCGTCCTGTCGCAGGGACCAACCATGCAATAATGGAACGATCGAACTACTACTACCGACCCTCTCTCATGATTCATGACGCTAAGAAGTGTTCGGTTAAACCCGGTCATCGGTGTGACCACATTAAAATCGGTATTCTGTACGTTGATATCCCAACAATTGTCAAGGTAAATAAAAAAATCCCTTGACACCACAAGGGCAGTATAGAAGTGAAGAAGACGGGGGGACGCTAAAAGAAGCGGGAATAAAGGCTAAAGAAGCATCAAGAAAAGAAGAAGAAAAAGAAAAGAAAAAAACACAAACTAAATCATAGCATCATCATCGTTGTAATCGTCGCGGTAGAGACCTTCGGGATCTCGCCCGGGCCTCCTGCCCAAAAGATCGCGCTTGTTTTCAAGATCCACCGTCCACAGAGCAGATCCAACCGCGGTTGACATCAGGAAGAACATGGACAAAATGGGGATCAACTGAAGTATCAGGGCCACCGTCCCAAATCTGGGTTCCCTCGTGGTTGAGCGTCAGTATGAACCTCGGTTGATCTTCAAGGGGGTTTGTGTCAGGGGAAAGAAGGTTGAAACCCACGTGGTGTATTGCAATTGTCTGCGGCGAATCCTTTCTTTGCGCTGCTGTTTCGAAAGATCCAACAGCTGAAAGTATCGCCAATGGTGGAAGGGGCCCGCCCGGTAGCCGGTCAGCACGAGGAACATGGGTGTTCCAGCCACCGGAATAAAGTTCAGCGGTAGAAGCACAATAAATTCCACGATTTGCCGTAGAGAAAACGGTGCATAAACGGCGCTCTTGGTGGGTTTGCCGAGCCGTTTGACGACATCATCGCCTTGGGGGTACAAAACCCTCGACATGGTGACGAGTTCGCCATGGCCCTCACTCACGAGCACCGAATCGAAGATGTCCACGAGGGTCTCATCGACGAAGAAGGCTTCAAAGAGAGCAGCAACAATGGCCGCCCCCTCTCCTAGAACCAGGAACGCGCCATTGATCCAGGCCCCGACACCCTGGAAGATGGACAGGAAGGCCACCTGAGGCAAATATGCAAACAGGAAGAGCAGGACGTAGATGAAAGCGGACAGGAGAACGATCGGGATCAGACGAGTCTTGAAAAGAGGCCAAAGGTAGCGATGCGATGCAAAATAATAAATGCCCTGTAGAAAGACCAAACCATCAGTTTCACCGTCACAAAAGGGAACAGGCAGCAACGTGGGCAAACATACCCGCAGGGGATATAACCACGCTGCTTTAGTAGTATCGATATGTCTGTGTGGCATGATCAAATAAACAAAAGGAGATTGTAACGCCAAAAGGAAACCGGTAGAAAAGGGGTCTGTATCAAAGCAGAGAAAGAGCGCAAGTGTGAGATGGAGAACGATGCGGACAAGGCACAAACACACCCGAGCACGGCCTCAACATCGTCATGCCCGCCAAGACCTTATCGATAAGCGGGCGGTGAAGCACAAGCTATAAATCTGAAATTTTCGCCCGCTTCAACCTTCTCTTTTCTTTTCTTCCATACATAAACTGAACACCTTCTTATTCACTCTGAGCTCCTTGACCGTGGAACCTTGGAGGGGAAATAGAAGGTCAGAGCAACTCGCTGACTTACCCCGAATTCTCCTCCTCAAGCGTGGAGCGTTTGGAAATATTTACAGTGGTACATCACTTTTAAGAGAAATCAGGCATGTTGCCGATGTCAACCCATGTAAAAGACCTATAAACCTGCTAGCAGTAGGGATGCTATAGTGACAATTGTTGCTTGATCACATCTACAATCCCTCCCAGATGTTGAACGATCGCTGTCGGCTTGACATCAGGCAACGCCTTGTCGACCCAGCCTGCCTCAGCCCGGTCTACCCAAATGGCATTCATACCCGCATTGCGGGCGCCTGCAATGTCAAATGGATTGCCACTGACTAGCCAGATATCCTTCATCTCCGACTGGTTCCGGCCGACGCACTTTGCCAGATAATTGTAGACTGCCGGAGCGGGCTTGTACTGCTTCACTTCGTCGACGCTGACAACATCTCTAAAGAATGTTTTGTGCTGCGACAGAACCGTCGAGCTCTCCACACAATTGGCTATCATGCCCCGGGTGCCATTTGAAAAGATGACTGAGGTGACTGGCGGAAAGGCTGAAAGTTGATTCAAAGCGTCCTCGACATCGGGGAAGGGTGTCAGTCTATTATAGGTCGCCATAAGATGCTCAATCTCCTTGTCTCCCAACGAGGTACCCGTATCATCCAAGGCATGCAGAAGGGAATTCCTAGTGACTTCCAGGAAAGTAAGATAGCGCCCTGAAGCATGAGACGACATTAGCCAATGTAGAAGCAATCCTTCCGAGACTGCAACATACCCATACTGTTCAGCCTGAAGGTGTATTCAAGCTGGTAGCGTCTCCATGTCTGTGCCACCGTGCGGGCCCGGGCATCGTCATTCAAGAAGCGCTCCAGCTCACGAGTGACAGCCTCGAAAGAGAGCAATGTGCCATAAATGTCGAACGCAAGAACAATATCCCCCATCATGTAATTGAGCGTTCCAGCGCAATCGATTTTCGGATTGATGTGGTCGTAGAAGACAAGAAAGAAACACGGCCCCCGTAAACTCAACTCCTGATGTAAAAGCGGCCGATTGACGATGATGTCAAGGCCTCACTCATCGACCCAACCGCCTCACCACCACAAACAACAAAAAACCCAACAACCTTCCCAATGAACCCACAATGACAGCGCCAGACAGCGAAAATTACCAAATCTTCCGCGACTGTGTCTCGAGCGCAATCGTCGCGAAATTCTCTCCGACACCTCGAACCAAGAAAGCGCGACGTCCGCGCACAACCCCGCGCCAAAAGACCAGCAGTCGAGCAGACCCAAAACCGGAGGCAGAACAGGTCCAACAAAATGAAGTCACTAGAACAGATCCAGAAGATTTGGCCGACTTCATCGACGTGCGTAGTAGCCTACACCTAAGCCCAAATCCAACTATCACAACAACAAAACCCAACTAACCTCACCGAGAGAGGACGAGAGAGAGAGAGAGAGAGAGAGAGCGCGAGAGTGGGGTACTCAACCCCCTCCCCTCTCTCTCTCCCCCTCTCCTCACCACCACGAAAAAAAAACAGTTCATAGCCACAGAGACCTTCCCATCACTCCAACCACCCTCACTCCAAACCCTCACCTACGACCCCAACACCGACTTCACAAGCGACAAAGAATACAGCCCACAACACCTCGCCGAAAGGACCTCGCACACCCTACCCGCCTCTATCACAGATACGCTGACAGCGTACGCGGTCATTGAATCCGCGTCCGACATTCCCTATTTCCTCGCGCCGATACTAGGCGAGTACGTAGCGTCGGTGACGAAGCCGCCGCCGGTGTGGGCGACTACGCGCACGGATGCGTGCGAGATCTGTGAGCGAGATTGGATTCCGCTGTCGTATCATCATTTGATTCCGAGGAGTGTGCATGCCAAGGTGGTCAAGAAGGGGTGGCATGAGGAGTGGCGGTTGAATAGTGTGGCGTGGTTGTGTCGTGCGTGTCATAGTTTTGTGCATCGCATGGCGAGTAATGAGGAGTTGGCGAGGGAGTGGTTTACTGTTGAGAGGATTTGTGAGAGGGAGGATGTGATGGATTGGGCGAGGTGGGTGGGGAGGGTGAGGTGGAAGGCTAGGTAGATGAATCCTGGGTTTATTTTACGTCTTAGTTTTGGATTATGATACTATGTGATGGGTTGGGTAAATGTGGGGGGATTGCTTGTAGATGGGTATAGAACTTTGATTTGTAGACTCCTTTCTATCCGGGTGGTGATGATGCGTAGTTCTTTTGGTATAAGCTCATCATCCCCGGGATCATATTGTACAGAATGGGTTGCTCAGCCACACGCTTTTGGGACATGCAGATGAGAAACATGGTAACAGCCAAGGGGTATGTATGTAGAGGTGGACGATGGGTGTCCGCTAAAAATACAGATGCCAGAAGTTGAGAGTGGAAAAGGGGGTGTGAATATGAAGCCGAAATGCCAATCATAGGTATCTCTTCTCGAAGACTTCCTCGTAGCATTGGATGTGGTCGCCAACGGCAAAGTCGGTCCAGCCATCGAAGCCGATACCACATTCCGTGTCTTTGCGCATCTCTGTTACGTCCTTCTTGACGTTCTTTAGAGACGTGATTGAGCCTGCGGCCAGTTAGTCAACTGTCATAAGTAACACGCCATTGAGGGATTCGACTCACCATCGTAGATTGTCTCATTACCTCTAATCACACGGACCTTCTTGGCCCGATTGATCATTCCGTTGCGCACCTTACATCCTGCGATGGCTGTCTTGTTACGTCCCTTAACCGTGATCTCGAAGATTTGTCCGATCTCTGCTTCTCCCGTCACACGCTGGGTGACATTAGGTGCCAGATGCTCACTCAGGATGCTCTTGACATCATCAATGAGTTTGTAAATTACGTTGTGGTTCATGATGTTGACGCCGCGCTTCTCTGCCATCCGAGAAATCACAGGGTCGACAGCCATGTTGAACGTGATAATGTGGCCATTGGCTGTGGCTGCGTGCTCAATGTCGAACTCACTAATCGGGCCTACTTCGGAGCGAAGTACATTGGCGTACACCTCGTTGTTACCGACAGCAGTGACCGAGTTGAGAACGGCCTCTGCCGAGCCACCAACGTCGGCCTTGATGATGAATTGCACTGGCTTGGGGCCAGATTGTACAGTCTCCTCGGCCTGGTCCGTGCCAGCCACTTCTTGACGGCGTTTCTCAAGCTTTTCGCGACGCGCCTCGTTAATAGCAGTCATGTCTTCACTCAGTTTCTGTGTCTCAGCCCGTTCCAAACGGTAGTCCACGACGCTCTTAGCGTGCTGCTCGTCGTCAGCCTGCAAAAGCTCGGTGCCAGCCGCTGGCTGTTCTCGCCAGCCATCAACCTCCACTGGCATGCCAGGAGTGGCTTCGGGAATTGTCTGACCAGCTTCGTTCCGAAGTGTGCGCACGCGCGCCCAGGTGGTGCCAGCAACAATGATATCTCCCGTTCGAAGTGTTCCCCGCCGGACAAGTACAGTAGCTACACGGCCATAGCTCTTGGTAGTGCCCTCGATAACCCATCCTTCGACGTGACCCTGGGGGTCAGCCCGGTGGTCGAGCACCTCTGACAAGGTGATAATTGCTTCTTCAAGCTCCAACATTCCTTGGCCGGTCTTTCCACTCACACCAATTGCTTGTACGTCACCACCAAAATCCTCGACGTGTACACCGTGCATCGAGAGATCCTGTTTCACCCTGTCAGGATTGACGCCTTCCTTGTCCATCTTGCTCATGGCAACAATGATGGGAACATTGGCAGAAGTGGCATGCTTGATTGCCTCAATCGTTTGTGGTTTAACACTGTCATCCCCGGCAACCACAAGGACCACAATGTCGGTCACGTCCGCACCACGACGGCGCATATCCAAGAAAGCAGCGTGGCCAGGAGTATCCAGGAAGGTGATGGTCTTTCCGGAAGGCATAGCCACCGAGAATGCACCAATGTGCTGCGTGATACCCCCGTGCTCCGTTGCGACAATCGAGGACTTGCGAAGCCAGTCGAGGATGGTGGTTTTGCCGTGGTCAACATGCCCCATGATCGTCACGACCGGGGGCCTGACAGGTAGACTTGACTTGTCTTCTGGCTCTGGCGCTGCGGTCAAGTCACCCTCGCCAGTGTCAAAAATGGGTTCATAGTTGTATTCAGAGGCGATCAGGCCGGCGGTTTCGGCATCAAGGACATGATCGTACGTAACGTCGTCGAAACCCATATCCTCCATACGTTTAACGAACTGTGCAGGACGGACGCCAATGACGTCTGCAAGACTGCTGACGCTGATGAACTCGGGGAGATATAGAGGGCTGACATTAGCTTGCATCTCCTTCTTGCGCGCTTTCTCCTTCTTCAAGCGCTTCTTCTCTTCGCGACGCTTCCGGCGCTGAGACTCCTCGTCCTCATCAAATAGATCCTCCTCATCCCTACCAGACTCGCGTTGCTTGCGACTGGCCTTTCGTTTCGGCTTCGTTTCCGAGACATCATCTTCACGTACTTTGATGTTCTTCAAAGATGACGGATCCCAGGTCCAAGGGTCACTAGCTTTCTTTTCCTGCTTGTCTTCCTCTGCTTGCTGCTGCGCTTTCTTCTCTTCCTTCTTTGCCTCCCTCTCTTCTTTTCTTGCCTCTATTTCCTTCTTCCTTGCTTCCCTGGCTTCCTGGACGGATATTTCTTTATCGACATTAGAGTCGAACACAGGTCGTGGACCGGCAAATTGCCCTTGGCTTGCCATATAACCTCTGAACGCTGTTTCCCTTGAGCCGAGCCCTTCAGCATTCCCGCTATCCTTATCAGACAAAATAGACTGGCCCAATTTTCGAATCTTTGTAGCTTCCTCGTCTGCGTGGCGATGGCGGGGTGAGCCCCGGTGCCGCTGCGGCCCCTCGTGCAGATTCGGCCTGGGTGCTTTGCAGTGCGGGCAGACGGTATGCTGCCCGTAACATCTCGTCTGACAATCTGGACATGTCCAGCCTGTCGACCGCTTGTGCTTGGGCACTTTGTTGACGTTGACTTCGAGTGACCTGTCGGGCTGTAGAGACAGGCTTTCCTTGTCCTCACTGTTAAGACCCGAGCGGCGCCTGGGGAATGCATCGGATTGCCTGGGTTTGAAGCCGGAATCACGCCATCTTGTGCTCGGCCATTGCTCTTCCGTGCGGCCCTGGGACCGCCCTTCCTTCCATCGTTGTTGCGATTGCTGCTGCCTCTCTTTACGCTGCCGGTCTTGCTCTTGTCTCTGTAATTGTTGTTGCTGTCGCTGTTCTTCTTGTTGCCTCTTTGCGACTAAAGAGTCTCGTATAGCTTGCTCCGCTGCACTCAGCCCAAGCGGTCTCTGCGCTTTGCTACCCCAACGATTACCGAACTTCGGGCCTGTAGGTGCTGAGCCGGAGCTTGTACCTGCAACTGGTTCACCGGGACTGTTTGATGGCGGAGAATCGGATGAATCGAGACGAAGGGGAGAGATTCGAAAATGCCGTCGAGGCACCAAGCCTACTACGGGAGTGAAGGCAGCATTTCTGCGGGCGGTTGCGCACGACCATTCGACACCGTGACGACGGGATAGCTGGAAGAGAAGGATGAATATCAGCTCAAACTCTGTGAAAGATTAAATAATTTAAACCTACTTCCAAAGCAGCCCGTCTGTGCATGATGTATTGTCGTTGCTCACAGCGAAACCCTCGGCGCCAAAACTGCGGAGAAGAACATCGGCGCCGTAAGTAATCAAAGTATCGCTGGTGTATCCGCCCGTACGCCGCCTGCTGACTCATCCCGCGGGTCCGCCAGTTTTCCGCCTCACGTGCGCTCGGCGCCATCGCCGAATCGGAGGCGAGCACTCTCGCGACATCAATTGCGCTCTTCTTTCTCGTCTTTCTGATAAGCTCCTTCTCTTCCTCCTTCCTTCTGTCTGTACAAAGACTCCTGGGTTCTCGGGATTAAGAGATCAGCTGCGTCGTTCGGTGCGATACCGTCTTTGGCTCTACGACTCGATCTCCTTTCAACTTTCAGTTTCCCGAACCTGTAATACTTCCCCGCAATGGAGTCCGAGGCATTCGAGGACATGCAGAAGGGGGGCGGAACCCTTCGCACCCTCAAGGATTTGGGTGCTGGTGCTGCTGGTGGAATTGCTCAGGTGCTTCTTGGTATGTCATAATCATCGCTTTATGATTTTTTTTGAACATATACATATACCATCCCCGATGCAATTGCGCGCACATGTCATCCGCACATGGAGTATCCCATTACCGTGAGAGATGTGCTGGCGCATTGCTTTATCATGCCTTATCTTGACTATCCCCCATCATCACCACAAATCTCTACTCAAAGCGCATACTAACAATGCACAGGACAACCTTTTGGTGGGTAACCCTCTCTCTCCAACCCGAGAGTTCTCCTAACAACGGAACAGACATTGTCAAGGTCCGCCTGCAAACCACCACCCAGTACTCCAGTGCTCTGGACTGCGCCACCAAGATCCTGAAGAACGAGGGCCCCTTCGCCTTCTACAAGGGTACCCTAACTCCGTTGATCGGAATCGGTGCCTGCGTAAGCACCCCCAATCATCAGTCCCTTCTCACTCATACTAACCGGGCCCCCAGGTCAGCGTTCAATTCGGTGCTTTCCACGAAGCCCGCAGACGTCTGGAGAAGCTCAACAAGAAGAAGTACGCCGACAGCACTCTCTCCTACACGCAGTACTACATGGCCGGTAGTTTTGCCGGTCTCACCAACTCCTTCTTGTCCGGCCCTATCGAGCACGTCCGTATCCGTCTGCAAACCCAGCCCCACGGAGCTGATCGTCTGTACAACGGCCCCATCGACTGCATCCGCAAGCTCTGCAACCAGGGCGGTGTCCTCAAGGGTCTCTTCCGTGGTCAGAACGTCACCTACCTCCGTGAAGCCCAGGCCTACGGAACCTGGTTCTTGGCTTTCGAGTACCTCATGAACCAGGATGCCAAGCGCAACAATGTCAAGCGTGAGGACATCTCCAGCTTGAAGGTCGCTACCTACGGTGGTTTGGCTGGTGAGGCCCTCTGGCTGTCCAGTTACCCCTTCGACGTCGTCAAGAGTAAGATGCAGTGCGATGGCTTCGGCGCCCAGCA